TTCAGGAGGGTGTGGTCCATCATACCATATTGGAATAGAAGCAATCCACAGACTCTCACCCTCTGTGAAAACAAAATAAGAAACTCCTTTCCAAAGCATCATATCCTTAGAACCAAATTTCAAAGTCAAGGCATTTTCAAAATATCTATGTTGGATTAGTTCAGCAGCATTTATAAACAAATATCTTTTGGCAGCTCTTGCTCCTGCCTCAGCATTCAAACAATTCAAAGAGAGCATAATAGCATACAGTATCAAGATTCTCTGTGTATTTTCCATCTTTGTATGCTTTATTTTAACCTCTATTTCATTTATTTTTACTTTTATTTTATATTCTCTGTATCTTTGTCCTGGAATAACTCTGTAGACCAGGCTGTCCTTGACCTCTCAGAGATCTGCCTGTCTCTGCCTCCCAGGCATTGGGATTAAAGGCGTGTGCTACCACACCTTGAAGTCACAGAGGTCAATCTCCCTCTGCCTCCCAAGTGTTGGGGTTAAAGGTGTGTACTACCACACCCAACTCCTCTCTTTGTTCCTTTTTTTTTTACTTTTAAGAACTTTTAACTTTTAGCTTGCATATATTTTTAACACACTGTAAATCATTTAAAAGCTTTCTTTTTCTTTGAATCTCTCTTTACTGTATATCTCTCTTTTTCTGACCACATGAGTCTTTAATTTACTGAGCAATATGAGTAGGATTAAAGCCGTGGCTTTGCCAGCCAGGTCCAGTCCATTCCTTAGCTTTCCAGCCTCACGGCAGATATACAGGCTGTAGCCATGTTTACTGCCACAACTCTATGGCATTTCAAGGTCCCTGCCAGCCAGCAAGCTACAACAGACAACACTCAAGTCCTCTCTCTGTAGTCGGCCCTCCTGCCTCGGTCAGAGTTTGCCCTGGCAGGATGGCCCAGAAAACTGGCATTTTTAAACAACACAGTTTTTTTTTTTTTCCTGCTACGGCTGAAAACCGAAAAGCATGCGTTCAGCTTTTTGTCAACACCGTTTAAGTGTTTCGTGGCAGGACCTCTTAATGAGCTGCAGGGTTTTGCAGCTAAAGCTGAGTCAGGAAGCCTCTCTTAGAAGAGACCGCTTGCTTGCCTCCTCTAGCAAGCAGAATAGACCCGAGAGAGTGCTGCTACCAAGAAACCATGCACAAAGCTGTCATTTTGTTCTAGAATTACTTCCCAAGCTGTCTCAGGCTTTATGTGGAAGCAGTTGTCCACGTGGGCGCCATCTGTTGAAATAGGAGCGGTGGGGCTGCGTCCCCATCACCCCGGCCGCCTGCTAGCTCATGCCCGAAATAACAACACACAAATTGTATTCTTTTAAACACTGCTTGCCCATTATATCCAGCCTCTATTTTTATTTTTAATATTTGCTTTTTTGAGAAAGGGTTTCTCTGTGTATCTTTGGCTGTCCTGGATCTCACTCTGTAGACCAGGCTGGCCTTGAACTCACAGAGATCTGCCTGCCTCTGCCTCCCAAATGCTGGGATTAAAGGCATGTGAACTTTCTCTATCCATTTACTTTTCTCTCCCAAGCCTGTGTATATTCTTAAACACACTGAAAGCTATTTAGAATTCTTTTTTTTTTTCTGTCTGAATCTGTCTTTACTGTATATAGCTATCTTTTTCTGAGCATATGAGTCTTTAGTTTGCTAAGCAGCATGGCTAGGATTAAAGCTGTGGTTTTGGCACCTGACTCCACCTATTCCTTAGCATTTTGAGAGCTTAGCTTCATGGCAGAGGTACAACAGGAGCTAGATTTATTGCCACACTCTGTGCAGTTTTTAAGTCCATGCCACCACCAAAGAAACCTGATACCACTGCTCATAAACACCATTAAAGTATTTGGTGGTAGGCCTCTTTAAAGAGCTGTGAGAATTTTGCTACCAGTGCTGACTCAGGAAGCCTCTCGTAAAGGAGTTGTGCCTCTGCTTGGCTCTTGGAAACAGAGCTTACCAGAGAAAGGATGATTACCAATTAGCTGACTTGACTTTGTTCTTGTCTGTCTAGAATCCTTTTTTTTTTTTTTTTTTTTTTTA